GTGTGTGTGCGTGTGTGCGTGTGTGCGTGTGTGCGTGTGTGCGTGTGTGCGTGTGTGCGTGTGTGCGTGTGTGCGTGTGTGCGTGTGTGCGTGCGCAATAAGCTACAAACCACCATACAAGCATCAGCCGTTCATTCATTCAGCAAAAGCTTCCTGAGCACAGGGGCCAGGCGCCGAGAGACATGCTGAGAACTCAGAGGGGAGCTCACCGACATCCCCACTCTCCGGGAAGGACACCCCTGGAATGACAATGTGGGGACCACGCAGAGGACGTCTGTGCGTTGTGCCATCTGTGCGTTCACACTTAAGATTCCTCCCCGCCGAAAAGCATCCTGGTCTTTCTCCTTTTGGGGAGGGGGGACCCAGGGCAGGGTGCTGCTATCCAAGGGTGGCCTGCTGGACAGGTAGGAAAGACGGATGCTGAAGGAGGAAGAGGTTTCCCGGGAGCATTCTCAGGGGCCCATCAGAGGCTGAGGATGCAAAGCCGAAAGGTCTCATTGCAGGCAGCTGTGCCGGGAGGAGCTGTGTTTGCATCTCCTGGCTCAGATCCCAGGGCGGCACAGAGACGCCAGGTTTATTCAAACCAGATGCTGGGTGACAGACAGTGGCTGGAGGCCCGAGTGAGAGCCACCTACAGGGAGGTGGTCTTGGAAAAGACTTCTCCTCTCACTTCATTCTCCACGGAACGTGCCAGAACACTCACCCCTACTCGTAAACTCAGCGAGAAACGTCAGCTTGCCTTGGGATTCAGAGTCCCAGACCAGCCCTGGAAAACTCAGATGAGCTGCTGGGGTTGTGCCCACACGGCACTGCAGCCAAGTGTCCATGTGTCCTCATAGCCCCGAGCTGGCGCCCCAGGACAGTGGGGAACCCGCCTGCGACAGTCAATGGGGCGTGGGTGGAGAAGCCGGGCTCTATCCTCCCCTGAGGATGGAGAGAGCAGGAGCCACGAGTGGCTGAAGCCTGATCCTGGCCCAGCAGGGGGCCTCATCCTAATCCCTGCTCCTCCTGCGGTGGCCCTAACAGACAGTGACCTCAGATGCGGAGCGTGGGAAAGCACTTTCTCGGCTCACACTGAGTGTGCAGAGATAGGACAGGGGACAGATAAAAGCCATTCAAGTGCAGAAAGGACAAGTCAGGTGACCTCAGGGACTGCCCATCCAGGTGTGTCTACCTGAGCAGACAATGCCCCTGCTAAGCAGTGCCAGACTGCCCTGGCGAATAACCCCAGCGCCCCCACCTCACCCTGAGAATAGTCTGCTCTCTCAGCTGACATTGCTCTGGCCTTTCTTTTGACAACAGAGATATTT